AAGGTAGGGGTCATCTTCAGCTAAGACAGTTTTATTTTTCTAACAGGGGGGTTGGCCTTTGGAATGGGCTGCCTTCTGGTGTTGTGGAGGCAGAAAATGTAAGTGAGTTTAAGAGAAAGCTTGTTAATTATATGCATGATAAGGGCTGGTTTTATAATTATTTAAGTTTATCTATTTAATAGTTTTAGTTTAGTTTAGAGGATGGAATAGCCGAGATGGATCAATAGGTTTGTTTGTAATTAAGCACAAAGCTACACAATGGGCTATCTGTGCTCTGCCCACCACGGGTATCGAAACCCGAATTCTAGCGTTATAAGTCTGCAGACATACCGCTGTGCTACTGGGGGGCGGATCAATAGGTCCCTTGTTATTCCAAAACCTTATGTTATGTGCCTGAAACCGCCTTAGTTCTTATTGATGCCACAGGTGGCCACATTAGAGAATAGGATTAAAGCAGCTTAAGTATGTTATAGTTTCCTGTTAGAATAATTTATAATAATTACAAATTAAGTTCTATTGCAAATACCGGTTATTTTATGTTATTCCAAAGATAAATTATATTATCAAGGTAATTTTTGACCATTAACTTTATGAGGTACTTCAAATTTGAGTTATTTGTCTTAAAATACGTCATCTAGTATTCGTTGTTAATAATTTATTAGTTTGTGTAGATTTGTTCAGCAAATAGTTTATTAAGGTATATTATATTATCAGTCTTAGGGCGTGTGAATGTCTGTTTTATGTCTTCAATCTGTAAAATTTACAACAACAAAATCCTTTCAAAAACAAATCACTTAATTAATCACGTGCATTTGTCGTAATTTCTTTTTTTCTCTCTCTCTCCCTCTTTTATTTACAATTTACTCCAACTTTTGCATACTGATAACAGAGCGAACAAACATATCAAACCTGTGTCACCACCTACATTCTTTCCTCAACGTGTGTAACAGCCTTGAAGTCTCATGTGCTTACACGTGAAAAGTGACGTCATGTGTGATTGAGTAACTTGAGCTCGGTCTGTAACGTGTTTTAGTTTGGGCGAGGAACGGTCGAGCTCATAGATCTGTAAAAATGATTATCATAAAATTCTTCGTAGATATCTTATTTAATTAATTGAAATAGTTTGTTAAAATATTTTTCTTGTGAAATCAGTTATACCTATTTTAGATCAATGTTATTTAAAGGGTGCTATAGTTAATAGTAATAGCAATTCGCTAGCGTATGATAATTACTATAGTCTTGGTACTGCTAATAATGGTATAGTGATAAGTAATGGATTAACAATTTCCGGGCGCTTTTAATATTTTATTTTTAGCTGCCATTTGCGAAGGAAGAGACCGAGATTTATATATATGTTTAATTATTGTTTATTCTTCTGGTGATAACACTTTAAAATGAGCACGCATTTGCAAGATACTGAAACCAGTAAGAGGGATAATCCGAAGTGTTTGCTACTAGAAAACCATGATTTATTGAATCCATCGGAAACAGGTAGAAAAAATTCTGTTTGAATTTTTATTCCTAAATTCCTTGAGAAACGTGTAACTGCAAAAGTAGTATAAAATGAAGCTTGTGTCTGTTCGATATGTTTAGTGAAGAATATGGCATCATTTAAATAAAAGAAAGAATTGTTATATTTTAAGAGGCACACGTTACCATGCAGAGTAAAATACATTTTTGTAAAACAAGTCTACATATTTTTATATATGATGACTGCTCGTTGCTCAAGTAAGTGTACCCTTCTCTCAGAACTCTCAATGACATCAGTTTGTGGAACTCTTCCACAAAGTGATTTCTCATGTTATTATTCTTAAATAATTTAAAAACTTATATTTTGCTTTCAACAACATTGATTTAATGATCCTATCACTATCAGGTTTATCCACTTGAAGAATATATAATATGTTGAAAACTTGTAAAAAAGAATAAAAACTATTTCTGTTATTGATCACAAGTGCACCACCAAATATTGTAATGTGTACTAGTTAGCAACAAGGAAAAAAGAATACTGAAAATGGAAAGTACAATTATGACAAAGTTAATGAATACATTGTAATGATGACAGTAATATTTTATTCAGGCAATCAGATGATATAGAAAGACTGTCAATGAATATTTCCTTTCCCTGTTATAGCAATACCAGAAGAAAAAAAGGATTACGAAGAGGAATTGGAATTTGTTGGATCACTAGCATTTTTGGGTCCTACACTCTGGGATAAAACACTTCCAGATTTCAAGCTAGAGTCACTGGACTTCAATGAGCTGCTAGAAGAGAATAATAACCTAATAGATAACAATCCTACCCATCATTCCTCATATAATCCACAGTCGTTACAAGCTTGTTCCCTGTCAGAAGCTAGCTTTACCTTACCAGAATTATCTTCATTATCATCAGGTAGGTGAGCATCTCTAAAAGTAAAAGATGAAATTGTGCCAATACCTCTGTTAAGTTATTGATCAGCTGATCTTAATATGTAATGTATTTTTATTGAAATATGTGCCTAATATATTGAATGTAGTTGACAAAAGTGTATACTTAACTTTATGGATCTTGGGTGTTTACTTCTTGACAAATATGTATAATTAACTTTACGGGTCTCGGGTGTTTAGTTCTTGACAAAAGTGTATAATTAACTTTACAGGTCTTGGGTGTTTACTTCTTGACAAAAGTGGATAATTAACTTTACAGGTCTTGGGTGTTTACTTCTTTACAAAAGTGTATACTTAACGTTATGGATCTTGGGTGTTTACTTCTTGACAAAAGTATATCCGGTGTTATTTGTGATGTGTTACCCTGGTGTTAGTAATTTACAGTGTGTATATTGGTTTTTACAGTCAATAAAGTGTATGTGAATGGTAAATTTAAAGTATACTTGTGGAAATTTCTGAAATGTTTGTTTATTTCAAATCTATCTCCATATTGTACATATCCATTGGATTTGGGCATAAAGATTAATTTAAAAGGTTGAGAATCCTTCATGTAACAGTTACTAATCTGTTTAGTTCTTTTTTTAACTACCTTTCCTCAGATTCACCTACCTATTCTGCCTCTATTCATTGGGGTTGTGGAAACAACATACACACATCTCAGGTGGAGTTTTGTCCTACAGATTTGGCACTTGCTTCTGCACCAGGTCAACGTCAGTTTGACCCGGTCAACCACAGTTTTTCGGATGATGATTTGAAACCTCAACCCATAATCAAGAAGTCAAAAAAGCATATCGTTTCCGATGAACTGAAAGATGAAAAGTACTGGACTCGACGAAGCAAAAACAACGTGGCTGCCAAGAGATCTCGTGATGCACGAAGAATTAAAGAAAATCAAATTGTTCTTCGTGCATCATACTTGGAAAAAGAAAACGCATCACTGAAGGAGGAACGTCAAAAGCTCAAAGAAGAAAATCTAAGGTTGCTGGAATGTCTGAAAAAATATGAAAAGTTTTAAATGTGACTCACAGCAGGTTGTGGTTTGAAGTAAACCTTATCTTTTTTTTTTTCATCAGGATCTGTTTGAACGATTTGTTTTGCACAAACATAAACGTGATGGTTCTGAAATTATTTTGAATATAAAAAAAAAGGTATTTTAATGTACATATAATTTTGGAGATCAAATTTAATGAAAGCTTCACATTTGAGTATTCATGACTTGTTTAGGTAGAAGTAAATCTTTTTAATGGTTACTGAAAGTATCCTACTGGATTCAAATCTTGTCTTCAACTTTTAAATGGATACGGAAAACAACCTACCGTATTCATATCTTGTCTTCAACTTTTTAATGGTTACGGAAAACAACCTACCGTATTCATATCTTGTCTTCAACTTTTTAATGGTTACGGAAAACAACCTACCGTATTCATATCTTGTCTTCAACTTTTTAATGGTTACGGAAAACAACCTACCGTATTCGTATCTTGTCTTCAACTTTTTAATGGTTACGGTAAAACAACCTACC